GTGTGTGTGTGTGTGTGTAAGTACAGCCATATGAAGAAATTCTGACCCAACCAAGTATATAGTACTCTTAAACCGAATCAAGAATTGTATTTATTTCTACGAAACAACTGTTATATGACAATTCCATATCGTGTCTTGCAAAATGACAATCATATGAAAAGTTTAAGATCTTAAGCATCGCGAAAAAACGGCTACAATACCTGTGAGTACCTATATATTTTCTGTATTTATTCATAAGCTTGAATTGTATATATATATATGGAAATCATAAAATTGCATATTCTCCATCTATATGCTCCATCTATTAGCAAATTGAATTGATGGTTTTTAGATGTGTTTCACGCTGGATAATGTTGTCAACTTTATATAAACAATAATAGACACCCTGACAGCTGTGATGTCTATAACGTTTCCACTATTTGCTGCCTCGGCGCATTCTATAATCTCTCACTTAAAACAATAGAATTCAAGACGGCCGCCGTATCAGTAAAAGGTCTATTTTACGCTATAGTTTATATGCATGAAATAATAAAAAGCTCGATGCTCGGATTTTATTGTAGAAACACAAGCTGTAATAAGACATGGTACTTTGATAACATTTTTTGCCCGCCTTTTTATAATTGCCTCATGACCAGAAATTCCGGATCACTATGGGAGGAGCTTAATACGTCATCAAGTTACGAACATCAATCACTATATTAAAATCCCTGTATTCTTATTGGCTCAATCACTTTCCTCAATTTGTATTCTAATTGTTCGAAATGGCAAAGGGAAAAATAAGGAAAAAATTATTCTATAGCGTACTGAACAGTTTAATCAGCAGAAAATATATTGCTATTATCGAAGTAAGGACTGAAGGGAAAAGTTTATGAGGCAGAGAGACTGATTGTAAGTTGCCGTGGTGCATATGTAAGACAATAAAATGAGGTATTCCATACCTAATACAATGCTTATATAATTCATATTATTTTTGCAGCTTTAATGAGTTCAGTATTCTTTGTCACTGAGGAAGAATATTTGGTTGAACTGCGAATGATAACCAAGAGCTTCGGGATTTAGAACAATCGGACATTTAGTTTTTGGAAAGTTGCAAATCGTATTTCGAGCGAATTTTGCCTGGAGTTTCTCTTCTTATAGTTACCAGACTGGTATCTGTCATATGCCTAGAACGCCTTGAACAATTGAGTACTGATATCCGAAGACATGACATAAAGCCAAGGAAAGTTTTCGGGTATTCTTTTGCGTTGTCAGAAGGTTGAAGCTGAAAGGTGTTCTACGAAGGATAGCTTAAGTACAGGATCATCAAACCGAAAGAAATTATTTGATTTTTGAATTTATTTTTGGAGAAAATGTGAAAAAGACACGGAACTGTATGATTTTTAAGGTATTTAAGTTCAAAAAATCCAATATATACTCTTAATTGATGGACACAGGTATGTGTGCCAAATTTTGCCAAATGGCGGTCATGTCTTAAGAATGACACTTTAATAGTGCTCTTAAACCGAAACAAGATTTATATTTATTTCTACGAAACAACAGTTATATGACAATTACATATCGTGCAAAATGACAATCATATGAGGAGTTTAAGATCTTGAGCATCGAGAAAAAACTACAAAACTTGTGAGTACCTATATATTTTCTGCATTTATTCATAAGCTTGAATTGTCTTTAAGGTCTAGAGAACCTACTGCGCAGGACCATTCGAAATTTCTGGCCATATGTTTACACTAGTACTGATGTACAAATCCAACCTTACCTTCCACGCCATTCGACAGGAAAACCAAGGCCATGCACAATACCAATATCAACAAAATTGTCTTGGCCATTCTTTAAGCTCCTTTACTGCAAAGTGGTCCTAAAAATTTCAATTATTTTGCAGAACTTAATTAGTAGCGTACTTAATAAAAAATGGTAAACCATCGAGTTGATTTTTCATGGCTTGGCTGACGTCACTTCCGTCCGTCCGACCGTCCGACCGTCCGACCGTCCGACCGTCCGACCGTCCGACCGTCCGACCGTCCGACCGTCCGACCGTCCGACCGTCCGTCCGTGTTCACATCACCGTAAATAACGTATTTACGAAGAAAATTCCGGATGTGACGCAGGCTAATTTTTACCTTTCTGATTCATTCAAATTGGACTACCTGTGACTTTCGTGTCGAGAGCTCCGCTTTTAGGCAGTGCCTAAATATATATATTAAAACTATCTGTCTCGTACCAATGCCGAATAGGGTTTGGTCTGGGTTCGAACCCCGGCTCAGATTGGATAATGTGTGAGTTGAATTTGTTTGATGTGTTAACTTCACACTTGCCACGAGGGTTGTTCTCCGATTTTCCTTCCACCGTAAAGAATGAACATTTGAGTTTGAGATCAAGAGTTGCATGTTGCAAGTTGCAAGTCAGTATAGAATGTAGTGGTAGTGCGTGTTGAGCGGACCCACGGAAAAGCCCCGTACGTACGGGGTGTGATGCATGGTTGACAAATACRAGTTGTTTTGAATTGTTACGAATGGTTGAATATCAACTAGTTTCTARTCATTTACTTTATGGTAACTGGAAAAGACCGTTTGAAATCTGAAAAATGTAACTCAGATATCTGCTACACCGAATTGAAATATGGCGACCAATTCGAATAACTTGTTCTGGAATGACTAGTGTGAAAACGCTTTTGTGTAAAGGAAAAAAAGCATGAGTAGTGACTAGCCACTAGAACTACTAGCAGCATAAGCCAGTTCATATACTTTAAGAATAGTTTTCAGTGCGAATGCGATTTTATCCCGAATTTTATCAACTACTTTTGTTTAAACCTTATTTCGTTGTTTATTTAAACAAAAAAGGGTGAGAAATTCTGGTTCATTAATCTATCCTAGAAAATGTTTATTGCAATAAAACGCACGTCCAAAATGTTCATTTGYTCGCTAACAATCCAATAACAATTAGATTCAACGCACAGAGTATTGAAAACAGATGCACTTTTGATAGGTGTTTCTGGACATAAAAGCAAGAGAAGAACGAAGAAAGGTGTTGCAAAAGAAGCTGGAAACATACCTTGTTAGATGAGTTGTGCTTTTGTGCTTCCAGAAGAATTATGGTCTGATGTGAAATTGTATTCGCAATTTATAGAGCCTGTGATTGACACATGCTAATAAAGTAATAATGACAATTATCAAACAGACACAAACGGGGGGCCGCGGGAAAAAAATCCGACAATTTGTTTGCACCCAAAAACGCCGAACAAAAAAGAAATATGATCTTACATCTTACAGTTAATTTTTACATAAAAATATAACAATACRAAAATGGGCATTATATTTAACGTTCTTTACGAAAAATAATTGAAATTACCGTAAAAATTCTAAAAAGCTGCCATTTTAGTTGCCACGAAGTCCCCTTATTTGTCTACGTCCCAAGAGCGTTCTGATCCATGGAGGGCAAACTGTCATAGAAATAAGAACGATTCTCATTTTACATTTCAAATTCATGTAGGCTTTGTGAGTAAAGTTAAGTTTGCTTGCTTACTTGCTTATATACTGACTACATGAATTGATCCACCCTAGACGTTCGCTTCAAGAATATGACGCAGCTTTTCTTTGTAAATACCCACACAGATCGATCTAATGCTCTTTATTTTGTAATGATGGACCAATAGACACGAATGAAAAACGTTTACACATGCTCTTAAATAGTATGCAGATTATGCAAACTTAGTGTCCATGCTTGAAACTTTTAAGGCTTATTCTTTCATACTGTGCTTGGTGATACAGTATCTTAGTCTGACTAAAGTAAACTTGCGAACTTTTTTGTATACTCGGAGGAAACAAACATTTCATTCTCAATCAAACTCTTCAAAATTGTTAGTAAACGTGCTGAAATGCACGCATTCACAAACGTTCACAAACGCGAAGCGTAGACACATCTAATGACTCTTGTGACCATATGACTCGATTATATCTACTTTAAAAAGTCCAACAATCGTGCTTACGCATGCGTACACTGAACATAGATGAAAGCATGCACAAAAGTTTTATCACACAGGCAACCCGCAACCGAATTTGTTTGTTTACTTATAGAATCTTTGTAATTTGGAAGAATTACGAAATGTCTAGATACATTATTTAGAATAGACAAGCGCTTCTGCTAACGATTAAGATCTATATTTTCGCTTGATCGAATTTTTCTAAGTATTTTCGTTTGATCGCAAATATTCCTAAGTGTTTTCGAATTGACCTTCGTATCTATGCTGAGAAAACAGCAAAGCGAAAATACAGATCTTTTATCGTATCCGAAGTGCTTGACTATTCTAAATAAAGTAAGAATACTTTCAATGGGCAAAGATGTGTTTATTTGACGATTTTTTCCCAAAAATCAAAAACTCCCGGGTATCTAGTATTTTGAAATTAGTTCCCGGGTGCCGGGTGTCTAGACACTTCGGAAGAATTATCTTCACAGTGCCTGAAGTTCGAAGCCTGCTACTTGTTTTTCCTTTTTTCAAAAGTTTCCAAGTTCATCCTGTGAAAATGAGGTCCACTCGTTTGATTTTAAAGTAAACAGAAACGCTTTATGTACAATCGTCAACATATATCGTTCCAATAAATAATCAGTATTTTACAGACTTGAATAAAGACAAATTTAAAAATACCATTTCTAAACGAATTTCTATAAAATATTCGCTTAGTTCACAGCGTAAATAAATAATTTCATAGCGCTTGAAGGTCAAGATAAATAGTAACGGCAGACGGGCAGATTATCTCGTATTTTCAGTTTTGAGCCCGTAGGTCGAATGATTCCAGAAATATAAAAGCACTCAGCCCGACTTTTGAATTGAAAATAGAGAAAGCGTTAGCAAATAAATCTTTAATTCTACTCTATACTTAACTCAGTTGACTCCATAGAAATCGAAAACGTCTTTTCATCAGAGAATTTCTTTCCAAACTCAAGAAAATATCAAAGAACTAAACAAAATAGGCTTTAAAAGGATAATAAAAGGACGTTTACTCATCTTACCAGCTAAGTTGAGTATTTAAAATGTGAAATCGAGCGAAATACTGGAATCCGTCAACAAGAAAAAGAAGGACACAGGAAGCCCAATCTCTGAAAAACGCAAACTAGTATCCACGAGTTCGTCACACGGTGGTTTGATTTTCTAGTGTCGGCCCAATATTCATGTTGCCTTGTCGTAACCAAGGAAAAATGAAAAGGGTGTGATTGACTTTAATTAATAATTGAAAAATATAATTAGTTATTATACAATAAATCAATAGTAAATATACAATCAAGTTTACAATCAAGTGCTTTCTTCGATGAAACATAAGTATCCATGAGTTCGTCACACGGTGGTTTGATTTTCTAGTGTCGGCCCAATATTCATGTTGCCTTGTCGTAACCAAGGAAAAATGAAAAGGGTGTGATTGACTTTAATTAATAATTGAAAAATATAATTAGTTATTATACAATAAATCAATAGTAAATATACAATCAAGTTTACAATCAAGTGCTTTCATCGATGAAACATAAGAAATAATATGATTTATATCTTATTCAACTGAGTTCTTCTTGAAATAAATATAAGAAATAATTACATTCAAGAAGCAATCTGAATGATATCTTATTCATCTGAGTTCTTCTTGAAGCTGCTGTGCCTATATTTCTGCTAAAATTAGTTTGCACCTCAAGATTGATTGTTATCTATTTGATTAGTTGGTTGATATACAATTAAAACTCAGACACGTACGAATAAAAACAAGCATGTTTTGATATGTTTCTTATTTTTGTTTTACTCTTGTTAGTTTTGGAAAATGTATAAAATAAGAGTAGAATTGCCACAATCTACCACTGATTCATTTCATAGGTTTTGCATGCATTCCAAATATTAGTGGTCTTCTTCATAGAGTGTGAGATGATGCAATTCTTTAATTAGTTTCTAGAAGAAAGGGTGGAAGGGCGTTCTGATCCTTGGCGCCATGGCTGGGATAGTAAAAGATAAACCTCATTTTGCATTTCAAATTCAATATGGACTTGATGAATCCAGCTTACGAATAAAAATAAACATGTTTTGTCATGTTTCTTGTCTATTCTTTACTCYTGTTAGTTTTGGAAAATGCAAGCACAGTCCAATAGATGTTTGAATTGTTATATAGCTACGAAATTTTCCGATATAATGAACACTCTCTTTTGTTGAAAGATGACCACGTGACACTAGTTACATCTAAATGTATCCCGACCGGGAAATAAGTTACTTATTTCCCGGTCGGGAAATACCTTGCATGTGACAGTAATCGTGAAAATAAACAAGTGCACGTGATCAGAACTTGAAAATCGCTGATGGCGTGATATTTTGTACCAATCAAAAACAGAAGGAGCAGATATTTTGCTCAAATTTTCAGTACAAATGGAGCTCGAAGCGAAACAATAGAGATTTTCCAGTGTTCATACAGAGAAATTACAGATTTTATTGAGAAAAAGGATTTGCAAAATACGAAAAAAGCGACTAAAAAGACTGCTGCTACTCTCCTCGGTTTTTGGTATGGGAGTTGTATTTGTAAAATCATGGTCAGTTTTCATGCAATTAGCTTGCTAAATAAAGTTCTTATTTCGTAAACTGACTTCTCAATATTTCTCAATTATTGCTATATAACAAAACACTTAATGTCTGGTCCCTCGGGAATTAGTTAGTTTTGTTTTCCCTCGAGAGATTGGGCTTCCTGTGTCCTTCTTTTTCTTGTTGACGGATTCCAGTATTTCGCTCGATTTCTCATTTTAAATACTCAACTTCCTAGTAGTAGATAGCTTGAGAACACTAAAAACCATTCATTTTCCCAGAACGGTCTCTTAATCTACTACCAACTTTTTCCGATTGAAATTAATACCGCGAGCACTTGCTTTGTGTTGCGAAGGAGCTTCTTTCTTACATACCACATTATGACGTATCGATCGTACACTGAATACTTCTTGTAAGAAATACAATACGATGATTTATGATTTATATAGCGCCCTTTAATTTCTATGTGGATATAATCAAAGGCGCTTTACAATGAGTTGTGAATGACAGATCGCTCCTAAGCAATTTACAAGCATGAGAGATGGTTAGTATGAAGTGTAGGCACTGAGGGTGGTCACTGCCAGAATTTCTTTACGTCCACAGCGTTCTTTTACGTCCCTCCGGTATTGGTTAGTAATGATGAAGTGTGGAAAGACGGGACGCCATTTAAAGGTCATCCAAGCCACATGAAAGTCTAACCATTTGCAGATATAATTACAAAGGCAGCACTTTCTCCTAAGTTATTTTAAGACCCTGATTGTTGGTCCGGCCAGGATTCGAACCACGACCTCCCGCACGAAAATCCGATAATCWTGAGCGAGCCGATTACAGATTAAATRTACAAATGCTGTTCTTAGTCAAAAACTACATTGAATGCATYGTAGTTCTAAAGGTATAAAGTTCTGAATGTGGAAACTGCTATTGCCACATTCAGGCTTCAGCATTTGTTACGATACGTGTCTGAATTAAAACACAGACAAGTACGAATAAAAATAAACAAGTTTTGTCATGTTTCTTATTTTTTCTTTTCTCTTGGTCAAAAATAAACCAAAAAAATAGAAAATAAATCTCATTTTGCATTTCAAATTCAATATGGACTCAGTTGTGAATCCAGCTTACCAGGAGTACTATCAAAAATATGGAGTAATTTCATATTTATATCGATAATATTCTACAAATTCTGGGAAGAATTCTACAAGAATTTTATGTTTGTATAAGGGGAAAGGTGACCAAAAAAGATGTTGTTTTAAAATCCAGAATGCTCAAAAGTCCCCCTCCCCACTGCCCCACGCTACCCCAGCCAAACATTATGAACGCTTTACTAGACACTACCATCACAGTGGCGGATCCAGGATTTTTCAAAGGGGGGTTCCGTTTCTTAAACTGTGTATAATTCTCTTTTGTTTAGTCGATGTTTGACAAAACAAATTGGTTCTAATCACCTAATTTACTATCTAGTAACGGAACTTAAAGGTAAATTAAACATTATAACAGAAAATATTTATCATTTCGTGTTCAACATTATCCTTGTGGATACTTTTAAGCAAAATTTATATAAGACATATTTCTACTACTAAAAGATCAAACCTTCAAGGGGGGTTCCGTGGAACCCTTCGAACCCCCCCACCCCCTGGATCCGCCACTGCATCAACGGCTTCATAGATGCTAGCTAGTATAAGACTGGATTGAAAAGGTAAATCAGATTTGTTTTTGCTGTTCGATCTTGGAATTAGCTATTCTATACTAATATCTTCTTCTGAACAACTACCCAATTTAACCCTCTAAGCATGGAGGCTTGGATAGTTTCTTGAAATATTACAGGAAGTGGAAGGAGGCTATAAATTTTGCCGCCATKTTGAATTACTTATTTACAATTAAAATGATTATATAGATACCAAGTTTATTGGCTCTTCACGGTTAATTAATCGTAATATAACGGCGCCACCCGGCTAGCTCAGTTGGTACTGAAGAGCGTCGGTCTGTTGTGCGGAAGGTCATGATTCAAACCTCGGCCGGACCAGCACTCAGGGTCTTAAAATAACTAAGRAGAAGGTGCTGCCTT